ATTTCTATTGCTGGTGCCAAAAGCGACCAATATGAAGCTGCTGTCATCACACCCGCAGCAAACCCAAGTGCAGAATCTAACAACTTGCGCTAAAGAAAAAATTAAAGTAAAAATGAATTTATCGATGTAAAATAAACATATGTAATGTATCAACCACAACTAAATTTAGAAACCACAAAAAGAAAAATGATAGATAAAACATTAAATAATATTGTATAATAAATTTAGGGTTATAACCTGTTTTCCTCTAATAAAAACAACCAGGCCAGCCCCAGCTGCTGTCAGCCCCCATGTGAAAAGTGTCCCCAAAAGAGCTTGGGTAACAGGTCCATATCCTTGCAACATTATTGGTATATTGAAGATCTTCGACAGTATGTTTTAAATTCAATTTTTCTAAATCACTTATCTCGGTGACATTTTACGATTTGTAAATATTAGATATGCAGATAAAATTAACTAACACACCAATATAAAAATTATCATGATATGCTTAATTATGAAAACTATAAATACCCATTTATCACATTTCTAGTATTTTGATGATTTTGTGAACGTTTTTATGACATTTGACAGTTTCTTGTCAACGACAACTCATGTGTTTTTCGCATGGTGGACCGGCGTTTGAATGAGGTTAGAATTTATAATTTCATAATCTTTGAATGATTTTTGCACAATGCTAAAATAGATATTTTCTGCTAGGACATGATCAAATCGATTATATATCGATATATAATTAACGGTATATTTGAATGAATCTAAAAAATAAAATTAAGTTTGTAATAATTTGGCTAAATTTACTATCATCAAAAATTGCTCATGTCAGCAAAAATATTTAACTTCTTACTAGAAACATTTGATTATGCATTTTATTCTTTTGTAATGGAAATAAATATAACATTCACGTCTTTATTTCTTTGTATTAAATATTCTGAATGCAAAATCTTTCTTTCTAAATTAAAACATATTTCCAATATCCATATAAGCTGCATCATATGATGTTTAATTATTATTATATAATATATATATATATATATATATATATATATATATATATATATTAAGGCTTACTTATCTTGCAGAACGGGTCCAATTCAGTTTCCTTTCCTTTTAAGGATCGCGCTCAGTAGAGTATTTTCTTTGCCCACTCTTCTCTATTTCACTTATATATAAAATTATAATAATAAATAGTAGTCATACGAAGGCACCACAAATCAATGTTCTCCCTTATTGTTTATCATTCCCATTACAAATTTATTACCATTAATTACTTTTTTATTCAATTTTATGTATTTTCCTTTCAAAACTTGTGCTTTTATGCTCCTAGATCTTGTGCTTTATTTTTCTGTTACCTGTATTTTGTCTTCTCGCATAAGTCATCAATAATCTGCATTCTTCTTTTTCCCAATCCTTTCAGTCTTTCTATTTTATCTCCAACCACGTCAATTTGCAGAATGAGTACAAATATTAACCTATTATAACTAGACAAAATAATATCACAATGATTTTATGGATTACAAACTAACAAATATCAGAAGAGACATAAGCACTATATTAATCATTCTTGGATATCTTAAGTTGTTTCAATAATTCCTCCCTCCGGGAAGCCTTTTTCAGACCATTTGGAGACTTGTTAGATTTATCTTCATTTGGTGGTAAACTTGCAGGGTTTTTTCTTCCGCTTTCCACAGCTAAATTATAGGTATTTGCCCGTACAAATATTATATTTTATTAAATTACTCAAAAATTAACTTAACAATTGTATTGAAGTTATTCAATGCAATCAATACTAACCTTTACGACTTTAATCATGTTTCCGGTCAACTGATGTTCTACCCCGCAATTGGATCTATCAATATTGTTCTTCCTTATTGTTCATTATTCCCTTTTTACAAATTTATTACCATTAATCACTTCATTAATCATTTTCTTTTCAAAACTTTTGCTTTCATGGTTCCAGATCTTGTGGTTCATTTTTCTATTACCTGTATTTTGTCTTCTCGCATAACTAATCAATAATCTGCAATACTGCAATCTTTTTTTTCCCAGTCCTTTCAGTCTTTCTATGTTATCTTCGACAATGCCATGTTGAAGTTATGCACTCATTTTCCTTTCCTTTTAATGATCCTGCTTACTCTTTTTATTTCACTTGAAAACATGTAACACAATGATAAAATTGCACCTAGTCCCATTGAGAGTGAATTAAAAAGCTATCAAGTTCAATTTTCAAGTTTTGTATTCTTTTCAATTTCATTCAAACTTATACATAGCATCACATACCAATTATATCATACATATTTACAAGAACATAACAAATAAAATAATTTGTGCTCAATAACAATTAAATATAAATAAATGATCAGGATTTTCACTACATGAGCACTAACCTTGCTCAGAAGCACCACGTAATTAGATAAAGCAAACGTACATTTAACACATATATTTGTGTGTATAATAAAGAATATTTGTTTTTTCTTATCATCGGACAAATATCATCAATTATATATTAAGAAAAATTGTTATATTCACATATATACAAGATACCTATATACCTATTAAGTATATCAGAACATGAAAAATATGTTCAAAAATCTTAATCCCAAAAAATGACTGTAAAAATATCCTTCATAATTATTGTCTGATTTTCTAAACTTCACCTTCGCTACACTGTCTTTTCATATATTTTCAAATTTAAATTTTTATATTAACTAAAATTAACAATGCTTCTATTTATATGTCAAATCTTAGAACTTTTGTGACAAATAGTTAATTAAAACATTACTAGCCAACGAAATCATACAAACTAATTTGATTTTTATGTTAACTATTAATAAATAAACCACAAATTTCTATTTTATGTTTACATATAACATTATAGTTGTAAGAGATATCAGGATTCATAATTAGTTTCAACAATATAGAATAAATATCTATTTTGTAGTTTTTTACACAACTTCTTGATGATATTGATAATATCATTTCTCGCCTAATTTATAGGCTAGAATGTTTGCTTTGTTACATGCTATATTATAAATTACCATAATGAATTATGTATTTCTATTAATTGGAAGAAACCACTCTGAAGAACTAGTGTAAAGCAGCACTTGTCCTGATACCAATGAGATGAATTTTTGATCCGTTTGACACCTCTGCAGCTTGAACTAAATATACAAACAAAAACTCTGATCCACATAACTTTCTGAATCAAATAAATTTATCTAGAAGCTGGTGTGTTTGTAGGAGAACATTGTGTTGCTGGGGGTGTTTCTTGTCTAGCTTGTGGCCCACAATGACCGTGTGTACTGCACATGGGTATTGAATCAGAAACCGGTGTGTTTGCAGACATTCGAGAAAAAGCCATTAGAGTATCTGGAAAGTTTGGTGGTGTCGCTGGTGTATTACATGGAGTCATGACTTGCTGTAAAGGCAAAAATAGAATAACAATCTAACATAATCACTATTAGTAATTACAGGGTGATTTATATTTTATAAGAATATATGCAACTAGACAATCTAACTATATATTTTAAGAAGATTTATGTAACAGAATTGATTTTTAAACAAAAATAGCTGAATACAATAAAGTTTGCGTTTGTTTACCTGTCCGAATGGAGTAGGTGGTGCATGTGTGGGAACTGTTGCTTCTTGAAAAAATATTGATAACGCTATCTGAAAAGAATCACAATATATCACTATATCATAAGAATTTTATAACGAAATATAGTACTAACGTGTCATACAAGATTAATTTATATATATTCTTATTAAATAAGCTACTATATATATTAATAAATGATATATGAGCATATACAGTTATTTAATTTATTTTATTCAATTTAGTTATAAAAGTTTTTACTTTGACAAATTCATTATAATAACCAAATTTAATATCCATTCCAGTGTTAAACTCGATTTCATTCATTTTAATATAACTAGGCTTGCAACGAATAGTATATTCGGCAAAATGCCGAAGACCGAATATTCGGCATGTTCCGAAGACCGAATACTGAATATTCGGCAAGTTTTTGGCGCCTAAGCTCGTTTGTAATAATGAAATTCTATCAGTAATTGTTATATTACTAACGCGCTACATATTCATTCAAGTTTTATGCCTAGACTTGCGACCACTATTCGGCTACTCTTTGTTGTTTGGAATATTTGGCACCATTTATACTATTCGGCCGAATACCGAATACTTGAATACCACATGTGATGGGCAAATAAATGGCAAAATTATGAAAAAAGTGATTGAAAATGATCAAAAATATTGTTTGTATATTTTGCGATAAAGAGCCAGTAATAGCTCTTTATTTGGAAATGCTTAGATTTCATATAATGAATGACTTTATTGTATTGATACAACATATGCGTGTAACCATTGAATGATTCATATTCAATAATATAAACATGTAACGTATAGAGTATCTTGTGAATATTCAAAAAAAATCTTGATGATGATTTTATAATGTCAAAAATCGATAAAGTTTAAATTATTATATGTACAATAACGAATTCATTCCTTCATATCGTATTATATAAACTAAATACATATCCATAGGTCTTTATTACATAAAAGATAAAACACCAACAATACTGTCGCTGAGCGGCGGCGGCGCCTTTGATTTTGACTATTCGGTATTCGGCCTAATAGCAAGTTACTATTCGGTATTTGGCCGAATATTAAAAAAGGTGCCGAATATGCCGAATACCGAATAGTAACCGAATATTCGGTGCAAGCCTAAATATATAACTATAAATTATAGTACTATTCGGTTACTATTATTATAGTCTATAATAATAGCCAATATAACATAAGTAATTTTCTAGATAGTAGCTCTTAGTAATAAAATATAAATAAAATTATAATGAATAAAATACAAGCTATAAAAATGAATTCATTTATATATTGATCAATCAGTCATTAATCAATAATATTTCGTAAATGAATTATAAATATATTTATTTAATTAAGCTAAGACCGAATAGAAAAAGGAGAACTTTTATTTTAATTATGCCTATTTTAATGTTTGTACTTGTATGTCAATCGTCAATTATTAGCAACATATGCAAATATGTTATGATTGATATTTTATTTATTTATTTATTATTAAAAGTATCTTTGAACATTTTTTTCCAATATGTAAGAAATATAATTTATATAAAATGAATAAATAAATAAATATTGTTTTTAAAACAAATGTGTTTGACACGTGTTCAAAGCTACGTCATACGACCGAGTACACGTAATGGCAAACGACGGGCAGGCGTGGGGGGTGTTACGGTATTATTATGACCTTGCAGCCCTAATAATATATTACAATAGCATATACAAAACAAACAAATAATTGCCTATGTCATTTTCTGTCAACTAATTTAACTATTATTATAGGTTGCGTGTAACTTGTGTCTAGCCAATTATTAAAAAAGCCAATACCCGACCGTGTTTGTTTACATCACATTTGTTATTGTTTAAATTACCTCGAATTGCCAATGTGCTGCCTGTAGAAGTTGCTTCGCTTGATCTCTTGCGCAACCAGCTGCTAACACAAACTGATTTATCATAACTTGTTCCCGCAATGCGGTATCCATTATGGTCCTTTAATTTCAGATACCAACAAAAACACAAATTTTATGAAACTATATTAAAACTGTGTATTGTGTTGCTCGCTTACTAAATTTTATACTGAGCTCTGTTTGTCCGCTATCTCGCTCTAGCCGTATGGACCAAAAGAGCCAATAGGAATTTGAAGTAAGGTTACACGTGCGTCTGTGCCACAAGAAAAGATTTGCAAATATATTTTAACTTTTAGATAGTATCAATGAGGAATAAATAAATTGTACTAATTAACATAGCTTTTGCTAAAAGTATATAGTCAAAACAATAGTAAATTTTTTAAGGTTTATATTTCATTTTTTACAATTTTATATTGTAATATCAATGAAAATCTTGTTAAATCAATGAAACTGTCAATGGATATTCAAAAATAAAAGATATAGGAATTCTAAATTAATATATATATATATATATATATATATATATATATATAATTTATTAGACAAATTTTGAAAACAATGATAGCAATTCATGTATGAGCCATGTTATCAAAAAAAAATTTAATAAAAAAAAGTCTATTTGAATAAAACAGTATAAATCACTTCAAAATCATAACATTTTTCCATCATTTATTTTAACAAAATTTGCCTAAACCTTAAACACAAAGAAAATAATCTATGTGTTTATTAAGCAATTTTACTTAAAACTATAAACGTTGTTCATAAAATTGGTTGATAATTTCCAAAGCATACATATTTCATTAAGTATTTTTTGAAACTATCCACAAATACTAAACCTATTGAGAACTATACAAAATAATGTCACAATGATTTTATGGATTACAAACTAACAAATATCAAAAGAAACATAAGCGCTATATTAATCATTCTTGGATCTCTTCCTAGCGATTGCATCCTCTACAGCCTTAAGTTGTTTCAATAGTTCCTCCCTCCGCGAAGCCTTTTTCGGACCATTGGGAGACTTGTTAGATTTATCTTCACTTGGTGGTGAACTTGCAGGCCTTTTTCTTCCGCTTTCTACAGCTAAATTATAGATAATTATCAATACAAGTATTATATTTTATTAAATTAAGCCAAAATTAACTTTCCAATTGTATTGAAGTTATTATTCAATGCAATCAATACTAACCTTTACGACTTTCATCACGTTTCCTGTCAACTGGTGTTCTAGCTCGCACTTTGGATCTATCAATAGTTGCATGAAGTCTCGCACTATCCACCAATCTCCTACTAGTAACAGGACTTCTTTCACGTGAACTTGAACTACTAGAGTAACTAGATCCAGAGTCACTGGAACTGGAATCTGAAGAACCAGAATTGGAACTAGCAGAACGACCATCTCGCCTCCGCGAATCTCGTGAGTCCCTCTTATATGGCGATTTATGAGAGCCCTTAGAGGAACTTGTTAACGAATCTCTGCGGCTTCTTTCAGATACTCTATCAATGTCCCTTCGTACGCGACCAAAAGCATCTGTTTGTTCTCTGTTTATCTGAAATAATCAACAAATTTATAATTTATTACACTAATAATATCCTTCTTATATAACTTATTGTTAGAAAAAATGGATGAATGAATGTGTGTGTATGTGTGTGTATGGTTACAATTTTTCCTTAATGTTTTGGAGAACACTGAAAACCTGTTTCAATTATTCATTATTTGATTCCTTTTGATAAGAGGACATGCTAATTAGTTTTTAGGAAAGTTAGGTCCAGCAGTTTTAGTGATCTAGGTAAAAAAGTAACCATTGAGACAGGTAAACAGATGAACAAGTAGCAAAGTAAAAAAGTACAATGATAGGTAAATCATAGGCATGTAGACATGTAGATCATATATAAATAAAAAAAATATTGATTAAATCTATTAGCTACACTTATTGTTAAGTTCATGCAACTTGACATAAGAAAAAATGCCACTTACAACTAATTTATTATTTTACATCAAGATATGAAACAAAGATTACTATATTTGCACCAACCTTCGATGATTTACTATTACTGCTAGATTTTGATACACTAATTGGTGCTGGTGGATTCTGCGCATGTCTTCTCATCATTGCTGGACTATGTGGCCTTTTCCGTGGAGAGGGTGCTGGGGGATTCATCAATAAAGCCCTTTCAGAAGCAGCCCTGCGTTCAGAAACAATAACACTGGGTGATACACGAGCACGTCGCCTACTTGTGGATGAATGATGTGTACCACGAACACGAGGTGACCGTGATCTTGGAGAACGTGACTTTGTGCTACTTGTACTGCTGCAATTATTAGAATACAATAAAAATTTATAATTTAAGTAAAAATATTAAAACTAAGTTGCATTGATATAAAATTCAACTACAAGAAACATATAATAATAACTAACTAAAAATTGCTTTTTTAGGTATAACAATAATAGATGAATATAATTAAAAGAATAAGTTACTTATACTTTACTTTGAATCAAATAAATCTGAATATTTACCTGCTACTTGAATAACTAGAGCCAGAACTATAAGATCTTCTCGATGTCCTTTCTTTAGGCCTTCGAGAACCAGGGCTTTTAGATCTCATCCAAGGATCAGCCCATTCATCCCCTCTAGTAACAGGTTCAGCTCTTTGAACAATTACTTCTCGTGCTGGCCTCGGCCTCCTCTAGAATATTTTATAAAACATTTATTAACTTCCTGAAGGGACAGCTAAGTTTTTGCAAAAAAAAAACAATTTGCTAATTTAATGAAACTTTGTATGGCAATAGAGTCCCTGGTCTTAATGAACATACTAAAATATTATACTCTTACAAAAAGTGGTTCAATTATAAGAATTAATCAACATTTGGACTAATCTGCTGCACTCTTAAAAAATATAGCTTGTTTTTCAATAATATGTAATAAAAAAATTGTTCAAAATTGAATAAAGATGTAATTGTATGATAGTTTCTCACATGATGGCTCTACAGCAACTAGGTATACTTATAAATGACTCATAAATTAATATATTGATTTGTTATTGATTAAGTTGATTATTTAAACATATCAAGAAGTTTAGGAAGCTTGCCCTGAACTTCTTGATATGAAGAAATCATCAGGCAGCCACTTACAAATATCTAACAATATTTTCCAACTTAATAAAGTAAAGGACTTGCAAGTATACAAGCACTCCTCTGAGAAGTGCAAGCAGCCTTTACAATAAACTACCGGACGAACTAAAGACAATGACGGACCTAAACAATTTCAAAATTAAATTGAAAAATTACATAAGAGATAAATGAAATAAATGAGATAAAATTCCTTATTTTAAATACTATATTACTTCTGTTCTGTAAAAATATTAATTACAATTAAGTATAAGTACGTATTTACGTACGCAAGCGTTCTGCGTATAATAGTAATAAGTAAAAATATATAGATGTCTTAATGTAAGTCTGTTACATAAAATTTAGATTTTATTTTTGTTATAATTAATTGCTATGATCTCTCATACCAGAACAATTGTCTGACTGAGATACAGTATGTACGAATTATATGAAATAAATAAATAAATAATAATAATAATAATAAGGAGCAAATATTGTGAAAGGTGCTTTAGATGTGTAGATGTGATTAGTTAGTGATTTTATTTTTTAAAATAATAGTGTGCATTAGATCCATTATTTCTATTATATATGCATTCAGCAATCTTTAATCATTTGTTTTACTTTATTTTTAAGTAATGTAATATCGTATGTTTCTTTATAAGAATAAAACATTTTGATATATTTCAAGGTAGTACCAGCTATCTTGAGGTTGTAAATTTATATTTGTAGTATGTAAATTAAATTAAGCATAATTTTTTATTAAAAATAAATGTGAATAAATAATAAGCAATATTAAGGAAATCTAAAATAAAAAAATCATTCAAATATGAGTAAAATATATTAATAATGTTAAGTTACCTTTACAACATCAGGTGGCAATAACTCATCTTCTTCATATTGTGGCATTCTATGAGAGGGTAGCTCACGATACCGGGGCATTCTGTCTCGTTCATGAAGTGCTAAATCATCATAAATTGGTGGTTCCATACGTATAAGTCGTGGTTCGTCATAATGCCGTCTAAAGTATTCTTCCTTTCTAGGAATCAATCTGTAAATATTTTAAATAAGCAAATTCTACAAATAACAAAGGAGTTATTTTGGCAAAATGTTGTTACCCGTCATGAGGAACATGTCTGGGTTTAAGATAAGCCAAGTCTGGTGACAAGGCTCTTGGTGGTGATGCAGCTCTGGCATAATAACCGTTCTCTCGTTCAATTTCTTCTTGGCCAATAGTCAAATTCATTTTCTTTTCTTCAAAATCCATATCCTGTTCCTTACGTTTATTAGCCTTTCTCATCATCTGTCAAAAGAAAAAATATTCATCAAAATCCAAAAATTGTGCTTTTTATATAAAATACAAGAATTTTATCTACATAATGTAAAGTTCAAAATAAAAGATCATTCTTGAAAATATATGAAACAAATATGTTTAATAGCAATTTGACTAATAATGTAGCAAATAAATATAGCAAATTATAAGTTGAATATATATAATTGGAGTGTTCTAATTAAAGCAGCAAAGTTATTAAATGAATAAATTTGATGCAAATATTAACTAAATGAATTAATTTTTAGTCTTACTTCTTTGGCTGTTCTTAGTCCTCTTTCCCAAGCGCTTTCAACTGCAGGTGGTTCACCAGCCACACCTCCAGGGCGACCACCTGCAGGAGGACCAAACATATGAACTGGACGCTCTGTTCTAAAATCATGATGCATACCAAATCCTGGTGCATGTCCGCCTGCCGGGCCTGCTGCAACTGGCCGTACCATGTCAAACATAGTATAGTTACCTTTGTCAGTTACTCCCGGATGAAGAAATCTTAAAATATAATTGTTAAAGGTTAATATATATTAATTTTAAGGAACATGCATCCTGCAATTTAACATACCTGCAGCTAATGCCCCATGTACACTGTCCTCTGGCGAAAAATCTACACACAGGACGTGGCTCTGTTTCTTCAGGTCTATTTTCTTCACCATCAGTGACCTGTGTTTGGTAAAAATTTATAAATATTAGATTACAAAAACTAGTATATATATAAAAACATAAATATATATACATATATATATATATATGTATATATATATATATATATATATATATATAATTAAATTTATAAGACCTTAAAATACATACTTCGCCTTCTTCTAATTCTTCTCCTTCCTCAATTTCCCCATTGTCTTCCTCATCATTTTTATCATTTTCAGCTGTTTTACCATTTGTCTCAGCTTGCGGAGGTTCTCCAGGACACTCTCCCTCTTCAGCCTCAAAATCTAATGCCTCTTCGGCATCTTCAGTAGTTTTATGGATTGTCAGAGGCACTGATTGCTGCTTTGGCTCTTCAGGTGAACTAACAGATTTTTCAGCAACATTATTTTGTTTTTTTGCCTCGTCTAGTTTCTGGCGTAAATCCGTTACATGAGGAGCCTAAAATTTTGAACACATATAGTTGACAATAAGTATAACCAAATAATTAGTGATTGCATATTACGTTCATTTTATAATATGAAGAATACGAATTCTAAAGTGTTGTTAAATAATTTTTACCGTTTACAACTGAACAACTTAGGTTATTTGTTAATTTTTTATCAAAATGCAAAACTTACTTGAACTGGACTTTTACTTGGTTTTAATTCTTCAGCGTCAGATTGTGCAGTACTATCTAAATCTGACACATCTGATAGATCCTCATGACTCATATTTAAATTATTATCAGTTACCTTAGAATTACTTTTATTAGAAGCTGGCGAAGAGACACTTTTCTGGTTAGAGTAACTATTATCTTCATTAACACTATTATGATCTGAATCCATGTCACAGTCTGAAATTTCCTCCATTGGAGGTTCAGGTGGTCTAGATCGAGATCTACTTGAGTCATTACTAGATGAACTAGATTCTGAATTAGCATTTCTGGATCTATTTCCTGATCGTGAGGACTTTACACTTTTTGGTGTTATTGATCTAGATCTTCTAGGAGAATTTGATCTTGATCTCTCAGGCGAATTTGATCTAGATCTCGCTGGAGAATTTGATTGAGATCTGAGTGAGCTTGATCTCATTTCCTTTGGAGAATTTGACCTGGATTCAATTGGGGAGTTGGATCTTGACCTCACTGGGGAGTTTGATACTGATCTTAGAGGAGAGTTAGATGCAGATCTTTTTGAAGTATTAGATCTAGATCTTCTAGATGCATTAGACACTGATCTTCTAGGAGAATTAGATTCAGATCTTCTGGATGAATTTGATCTAGATCTTCTAGGCGAGCTTTGATTTGATTTTGGGCTTTTTGCACTGCAATCAAGAGATGCAGGTTCAGGATCATCTTCATTATCACTTTTAGGGCTCATTGGACCATCTGGAGAATTTATTTCATTTCCGCTACTATATGGTGACTTTGGTTGATTGGCATTATTGATAGAATCAACAGGAGATGCCGGTCCATCACAGGAATTTTCATTCTGGGCATTCCAACTATCTGGTCTTTCAATACTATTATCAGAAGGACTGTCAGGCTTATCTAAACTACCAGTTCTGCCATTTGGACTATCTGGACCTTCTGATCCACGACTTTCTGGTCGTGAATTTGGATTTGGAGATGCAGGACCATCATCTTCATAACTAGATGAACTACCTGAAGATGCACAGTCTCTGGAGTTTGCATCTTGAGAATCTTCTGACTCCATCCCTTAAATAAATAAGAACTAAAGTTTGAACACTTGCTGAATGTGAAAAGCAAAGAAAATACATAGAAAAGATGCCTGTTTATGAAAGCATCTATAAAATAATTGGTAATTAGGCGTGTTGACGTTCACGAGGTGTTGATCGGTTCCTTCTTACCTGGCCACTGACTTTATGAAGTTGCAGGATACACTCCATCTTCATTTTGAACTTACAATTGAAATTATACATTTGACAAACAAAATCTATTTAACATTTGAAACTTTGAAACACAACACAAACTAATAATAACTGTAGTCTTTCACATACTAAACTTTAACTTTGAAACAAGAATATACTTTACACACTATCGACATTTTGTTAACAACAATGGTGGCTCAACCTTCAATATAATGTGTGGCCGGTCAAAGCACTGTTTTGTTTTATATGTTGAACTTGTGCCTTACCTTTTATAAATTGTGTTGATAGCTCACTGGAGCGATTTTTCACATGTGTCAATGTTAAGAATTAACAATTGATAAAAATCATTACTGCTTGACGCTTTCTGTAAAATGCCGTGGATGGTAGTGAAGTGGAATCAGTAACTGTCAAGAAATGAACGAAGTCGCTACCAATAATATAATTTTAAAATAACGATATTTCACTCAGAACTGTTGGTGGCACTGCCCTTGTCTTTAAAAATATGAATTTAAAACATTAATAAATTATAGCGATGTATTATATTACGTCACAATACTTTGAAAACCCATTTGTTTTATTTAATTGCTTGGTGAACCTCGATTAAATTTCATTATGCATTACGCATGCATGATCAAAAATATGAAAATTTCGAGCTGAAACAATAAAATTTGAATAATTTTTTTATATTCATATGCTTCGCTTAATTGAAAAATATAAATGGACGTGACCATTACAGTATTTTTTACAAATTAAGTTTAATATAAACCTTAAGTTTCACATGTTATCCAATAGTTATACCAGCACACATTATACCTATCTCACCATGTAATATATATTTCATGTACCACATTTTTTAAGGTACTAATACAATTTGATATACGCGAACTACGAAACGGTTTTTGGATGTTTTGCATAGTGCATACAAATGTAATTAAAATAAAATTTTGTGTAATACAAAATATTGTCCATATTCGAACACATTGTAAACATTCAATTGTTTTGACTTCCCAGTAAACAAACAAACAAAAAATGTTCATAAAACAGCTGAGATCTGAAAAAACTTCAATATTATAGAACACTTGCTGTATTTCAAATATATAATTATATATTTATACTTAAGTATAACATAATATATTATGAATATCCTCATATTGTCAAGGGCAATATTCTTTTAAGGATTTTTGAGTATTTCAAAGTTGAGTATAGTTATACTATTCCATTTATGTGTAAATGGAAAATTCAATCCAATTCAATTTTGGATTTAAATTTGAATGGGTCTACAATTAAGTAAATAAACATTAAATTTACATGTTATTCTGGGTATATATAAATCATAATAAACATACGCAGTGTCTCAATGTACAGAATAAGTTACAATTTTATCTTTAAACAATATCTAGGCACTATTTCTAATTAATGGCATGTCATGGCACAATGAAATGGATCAATACATATACATATGTTAATAAATTTATTGTACTAAATCCTGACATTGAAGAGATAAAATATTAAATAATATGAAAAAACTTATATAACTGCATAATGTCTGAGATACATCATGCACTTACTTACTCTAGAAGCGAATGACATTCGAGATGCCATTTGAGCTTATAAAATAATTAACAAGCTCAATTCTGTTTATTGCATTCTGTTTTATATCAGTCGTAAAAGAAATTTTTTTTTGGGAAACATTATTTGCAATATGATGTCTTGGAGGTCACTTTAATAAAGTGATTTAAAAAGTACAATAAAATACAAATATACAAAGAGATGGCAAAATAGGATAATTAACTAGAAAATGATAATAGCTATATAATAACAGAATTTCAAATGCATACAAGATGTCTTTCAAACAATTATAGCACCCTGATTTTTCTGAAAAAGAAAATATGAGGGGTATTTTATTTTTCGGATATACTAAGGATCTACATAAAAAATCTCTAATGTTTTTTAAAACTACTCCACATAATAAAAAATTGAATCCGTTTCACATGCAAAGATTATATCAAATAAATCCATATCTTATGGGAAAAATAAGTTATACTGAAAAAACATTGGAAAACTCACTAACAATCTAAATTCAACAAGTTCATTACCTAGATCCACTTTCATAAAACAAATAAATGACTAACTACAATAGGCAGTGAATAACGTTAATTTTATATGGCATGACTAAATTTATAATAAATCATTACCAGAACATTATTAAAAAAATGTATTCCCTTAAAATCAATAAGAAAAATAGTATAAATTAAACATCACTACAACACAATATATAAAACATCCTTCTTACGAATTCAAAGCCTATTTAGCATAATATGGCAATTATTTTGAAACAGCAAAATGGATGAGATATAATATTAGTCAATATGCTCATAAAATAAATAAAATCAATCTACTTGCATATCGGGCTCCAATCTCAGCCCAATTGAACTTAATAAATTTGTTGCAGGGCCAGATTTTCCCATCTCACCTTCATAACTTTTAACCATATTTCTCAGCGCATTAACATCGATATCAACTGGTTTGAAATCTTCTACTTCATCAAAATTATCATTTTCTATATCATCATTTCTAAAACTCTTTCCAATTGTAGTAGAAGCTAATTCTTTATCCATTAGATCCATGTAATTTTTAATGTTACCCTGATCTATATCAGAATTATTCTGTACATCATCATAGTCACTCATCTCCGAATCTGAACTTTGATCCCAGTTTTCATCAGGAATTTTGAAATCAAGTATATTTTGAATAGCACAAGCAAAAGCATCCGCATCAAAATCAACTTTATTATCACAATTTTTGTTAGGCTTTGAAGAAGCACCCTTATTTTTATTTTTAAAAATACCTCTTTTTGGTTTTACTGGTTTGTCAAATTTTAAATCAACATCATCTGTAAATTCTACTCCATCGATTCCAGATCTGTGATCCAAAAATTCAGAAAGTTTGCTTGTTAAATCATTTGGATTAACTTCTGAATTTGAAAATACCTGACACTTTTGGCCAAACCGCTTTTTCATCATTTCATCAAGTTCTTCGGGGCTTATATTCAACCAATTTTCATCATCATCAGGAGGACATTCACTAATATCTTTATTTAATTCACTTGAATCAAGATCTGCATCTAAGTTTTTAAGTAAATCAATTATTTTTTTACTTATGGTTGGGGTCACATTCATGCTCTCTCTATATTTTGTATAATAATCTTTAGCTTCTTTCAGTAATTTGTTATGAGATTCTGATTTTTCTAGATGCCCTGCAAAATAACCTGCAAAAAAATGTTATAAAAATAAATTAAAAAGCAAATTCAAGAAGAAATAGGGAACTTAAAGAATGAATATAAAATGTCATGGTATGTAATACTAAATTACTAACTAATAACTCAAAAATTAACATACAAGTATACTACATTTCAAATAATTATATTACTTATATAATTTTATATTTATCTTAATTTACCTTTCTCTGTTAACTTTTGTAAATAGGTGATCCATGCCTTATCTCCTTCAAAATCTTGATCAGTTTTTATTTGTGCTGCTAATATTTCAAAACCGCAAGCGACTCTAACACCGAGATTGTGGGCTTTATATTCTTTACTATTAATATCAGGTAACTTCCAACCAATTCGTCTGTCAGGAACATAATTATTATGCACTAGCATTGCATATAAACACTTGGTAAATTTCACACTGCAATATACTCTATTTTCAGGTGGAAAATATTTCATTGCTCTACATGCTTTCATATCCACAACATCTCTGTTGCAGAATGCTTGGATTGCTGGAGCTATTAATTGTGGATTTTTATCTAGAATTTTTGCAATCGCTACTGGAACATAAATAGTTGTTCTATGTAGGAATTTGGAAATATCTGATGGAAAATCCTTTGTCCTGTGCCTGATACTTTCTTGAACAGACTCAGAGGCTATAGTCAAGCTGGGATCGGAATAAATTTCTTTAAATGCATCTTGTAAGCAGATGACTTCTACATCTACAATGTCTTCATCCATAGAATCTTTATCACTCTCATCATCATCATCTATTTTCATATTTTCTTCATTAGATTTAATAGGAATGATATGAAGACTTCCATTGTATATATATACCTATAACATTATTTTATCATTAAATAAGCGTATATTAAAAACAGAAAATAATAATTTTTAAACTACATATAAGATCAGCAAACAACGACTTCAAATTCAAAGTTAATTATTAAGTAGTTTTTCACCAATTATAAATATTCGATTGTGGATATATAAATTTACCCTTTGCTCACAAGTTTCAGGTGTAGCCCATTTTGGCAAATGATCAGCTGCTTCAATCAATAAAAATTCTCCATCAGAATCCACAACACGTACAATCACATCTTCAATTTGCCTACTTATTTCAAATAATAATGACACAATAAACCACTCATCTTGAATATTATCCCCATAATGTGTCACTCCAAAAAGATGTATTGGCATCGGTCCTAAAATGATTAAAAATAGAAAATTACAAGCATAAATTTAAAGCATTGATAAATGAATTGAACCTTTGGTAGTATCATTTTCCTTTAACATGTGTTTCATGCGGGTGCAGGGCGTGACATTAAATTCATCTTTATGCCAAATATAATCTTTCGCATATTCTGCGTAAAGGGATAGAACTTTATTTGATAATTCATTTAAAATCACAGCTTCCTCTTCATCTGATTGAGTCTCGGGTGTTTTCGGAAAGATGTAATACTCTACAAAATCATCTTCGCGCACAAATTGCAACGGATCTTTTGAAATACTTGACATGGTGAGAGTGTTATTATTAAGCACAAAAAATCAGCATACATTCTATTTGCATTACCTATGTCGAAATGCTATTATTATATTGTCTAGGGAAATGCTTTCAGTTAAAATTTTCTAATTTGACATGACAGTACAAAATTGCACGAAATCTGTACAAATGTCACAAAAATACAATGAACCAACTGCTAAGAACAGAAGTTTCTGCGCGCAAACAAAAATGGCGCCAAGATTTGAATTACCAATGCTATCGTATCTCGCATATGATTTTATGATATATTTGTTGAGCTTATTCTAAATCAGATTTTAAATTTGCTATCATATTAAATCAAGTTATAGCTAATTAATTTATAATAAAAATAAATTCACTACATAACATTTTGATACTAAAATAATACTAACAACAACAACTTTATATCTATTTTATAATTATATATTTTTACAAACATGTATATTTTATTAAAAATCTTTACAAAAAATATTTGAAATAATTAATATGACATTACTTGGATGGTCTGAACCATTTCGGCATCTTTTGTTGGGTTAAAGGTGGTGGAACCGTCAGGGCACCAGAAGGCCTGCTTGGGCTCCTAGATCTTGGACATCCCGAACTTCTAGGCTGGGAATTTATATCTTCCTCATTATCTTCAGTGGTTGGCCTCGTTAATAAACCTCTAGCAGTTTAAGTGATTCACACAATTAATCTTATTCACATGTATAAGTTAATATTAATCTTATCCACATTCAATAAACATATAATTTAAAAATATGTATACTTATAATATAAGAATGATATCAAAACATTAATTGAAAGAAATAAATAAATAAAGACAAAAAAATTGAAAAACTGAAATCACATTTGACAAATGACGAAGCAATGTTTGAAACTCAACTAAATCTTACAATTTAATTAAATCTCAGACTTTTTTGTTCTTGGTAACTTGAACTTGTTATTTTTCTCATGAGAGAAAATAATCATGAAAATACCTTGATTTTGTAGCTGCTAATATTGCGGCTGTGGGTGTAGATAAGCTCTGCATCACATTGTTGTTCAAAAATGGTGCTCTCATATGAGATGGTGTGTTATTTACTTCAACAGTAGAGATTCCTTGAATTCCAAAATGTAATAGTGCTGAAGGAACACATCCTAATTCTACTAAAGTTTCATCTGGCTGCAATATTCTTTTAGGTGGTGTAATAACTGTTGACAAAATTTAATATCAGGTCTACTTAGACCAGAAACAATGGCACAACAAAGTAATATTCAACTTCATAAGTATTATTTATGTTTCAATGCCTTTACTAAATTATAAGGATTTGTAGCGATTCAATTTAATTATGATATTAATTAAGATGTTTCAAATCAAAATGTGATGAAACCAAATTTAAACTGCTGAAGCAAAATTTTTTGCAGCAATAACATTTTAAAATTGATGATACAAAATTAAAAAGGTACATATAATAAATTAATTATGTAAAGTATATATAATAAAGTTCCAAGAATCAAACATAAAAACTTACACAAATGGTAATTTGTATTTGGATACTGTAAATATTGAGATACAAAATCCAAGACATTCTGAATATTCTCTGATGGCAAAAATGTTCCCTGTAAAATTATTCTATCTGGAAACTGAATACGTAGAACACATCGTTTGTATTGACCGAGTTGTGATAAAACCTATAAAAAATAATCAAATTTAAAAGAATAGAAAACATGTAGTTGCCCAAAAATCAATGATTATACTTTTTTAGATTCTTCTAGTTTTCTCAACTCTCGTGTTTGCAAAGGAGCATCTTCTAATTCTGCTCTTTGGCGTTTGAGATCTTTCAATAACTTCTTTACATCGTTCACAGTTAAATCAAAAAATTCATCTGGGAGATCATTATACATAGCTGTTGAAATATTACAATTCGATAAGCTGTAAGCCACAGCATTTCTTTCACCTAACTGTAAGTATGATCTGATATGTATTGGAAAATTTATTGATATTTAGACAATGTATATTGGAAAATACTTTTTATATCTGAACTCACAAATTTAATTTCATCTTCCTCTGTGTCATCTGTAACCATAGGTGTAGGAGTCTCTTCTAATTTTGGCTGCTTTACTTGCGATGTATTTTGTCGAGAACTACTAGATTGTGGTTCTTCAAAATCCCTTTTGCTAATTACATTTGCATTATCACTATCATTAGGTGTAATTTTAAGAATGCTGGGTACATTTGAATGAGTTTTCACTTCCTTTTCTGTTTTCAATGCTGTCACAATTGTTTTAGTTACAACGTCAGAGGCATTTGTAGACTTAGTAAACTTTGGGGCGGATTTAATAAATTCTTTTTCTTCTACTGGTTTCACAGGTAGAGGTGCTGACACATTTGCCTGGCTGATTTTACATATTTTATATTATTAAATTTATATTTAAAAAAAATTAAAAATATGCTTAGGACTTTTTGTGGTATTATCAGTCAAATTTTAATTTAAAACTACAAGAAGAGTTTTATATCAGCTTTGCTAATATTTATTTATTTTTAATGTGCATTATTTTTGCATTTAAGATTTATCTTGATATCTTAATCAAATATGCTTAGAAGCAATATTTGATAATTTAGAAACTATGTCATAAAATTATATTAAGAAACCAAATGTGGTAAAAAGGCATCACTAAGCACTTACTATTTAAGTTCTTCTGGTTTTCTGTGAATTAGCCTCAGCATGGCTCTACCTCCTGTTAGACCTAACGCTCGTAATGTTGTGTTTTTAAGAAGATCTTCTCCAAATACCTTTTTCAAAACAGATAAAATAAATTAAACAGAATGTTACTTATTTCTTATTAGAAAACATATGATACATACTTCTCTTCGCATGTAAATTACCACAGGATGCAAATCAGGATGACTTTGTTGAGGGCACAGATCTCCAAGCACAGTGGTTAAATTTACACTAGGGCTATATGTTCCAAGAAGTCTAGTACCTTTCAGAGCATTTTATATTGCTTTAAAATATATTGATGTGTGATGCTACATACATTATTCTAATAATAAAGTGCTTAGTATATATAATATATGCAGTTTTTAGTAAGAAAAAATTAAAAATTGAAAATTATTTAAATACAAAGAGTGTAAGAGTAAATCCTAATTGAATTTTGCAATTGCTAATTGAATTGCAATTTACATGCAATGCTTCTCTATATTTAAAGATAAGGTATTACACTAATAAATACCGTCTTCTAATTGGACTCCAAGAACAACATCAGATTCTTCCCGAATTTTAACTGCTTCAGACATTTCAAGCATTGCATTGTTAGGTAAACCAGAAAATCGTAGAATTGTTTGAGTGTCTATGATGTGATTATGATGACGAAGATCATATTCTTCTGATTTGTAACCTTGTTTTTTGCAAACCTCTTCCAAAATCTTATTAAAAAAGATTTTATATATAAAATGTGTCCATAAACACAAAAATTTCAATTGTATTCTCAATTAATACCTGAAGAATTGTGTGATTGGGTGTCACTTTAACTGTTTGTCTTCGACCATTGGGTGCTAAAACTATGATAGATTTCGTAGCAGCCATAATTTTTTTTTTTTAATTATAATATTTTATGAAACACTTATTAATGACTAGCACATTCTTAGATTTTTCTAACCGCAAATTTGGAAAATGAAACGTCAAAACATTGCTTTAGCCAACATGAGATAAATGAAATTGACAGCTCGGCGACACCAGCTTATGTTGGCAACGGTATTAAGTTAAAGCGCAAAATTTGAAAAAAAAAATTAATTTTCAAGACTATATAAATTGGAACTGACCTGCGAGACAAGTATTTAAAATAACTTAATAAATTATTTACAATTTAATTTATTCTAATATAATGCATCAGAGCATATAATTATTGCTTGAATGTACATTTCTTTTGTGATTTAAAATCATGGATAATATCAGTGCCACCTAAACCCACTTTATCTTTAATCTCTATCCAAGTCTGCTCAGCTACTTCCATTGCCTTTTCTGATCCTTCAGTTATAACTTTCATTAAATATTCTGGATGAGACATTAATCGAATCATTTCTTCTCTTATAGGATTTAATAGGTTTATAAGATCTTCTGCAATCACTAACTTGTATCTAAAAATAAATGTTAGTAAAAATTTTATACAATTATTGCTTCATGTACTACATAAATGTATGAACATTATATATATATATATATATATATATATATATATATATTTATATATTATATAATAATGTCAAGGTTTATATATCCATCAATATGTATGTTTTGAATTGATATATTAAATTCCAATATCACACTTACTCTCCCGTCGTCACATTTTTGTTTTCTTCAACTAATACTTCAGGTGATTTTTTTGTAATTAGAGAATGCATGATAATTAAATTAGTTATACTAGGTCTTGTTTCAGGTTCATATGTAAGTTCTGAAGTAAAATCTGTAATAGCTTTTTTCATTTTCTCTCGTATCAGTTCTGGAGTATCTGTTAGAAAAATACAAGATTTTGGGTCGGGGTCCGATTTTGACATTTTTTTTGTTGGATCTCGTAGACTTTTTAAGCGACTGCTATTATCATCTATAATATAATTGTTGATTTAAATGTGTCATATACATGTACATATCATAATTCTTTTATATACCTGCAACAACTGCTTTTGGATGTGGAAAAGTTTTTCCATATCTATGATTAAAAGTTTTAACAATATCTTGGGCAAGCTGTAAATGTTGTACTTGGTCTTCTCCAACAGGAATATGTGTTGCTCTAAGTTAATAAATAATTATGTATGTAAATTAAATTTACTTTCTTCTCTTTTGACTGTAGATCTGATATCATTTCATAGTGATATGAATTATTATAACAAATGTAATAATACATACTTGTAAAGAAGTATATCTGCTGCTTGAAGAACTGGATACACATAAAGGCCTAAAGGTATTTCTTTCAATTTACTGGACTTCTCTTTGTACTGAGGCAAATGGCCCAGTCTCGCCATTGTAGTAAGGCACATTAACACCCAACATAATTCTGCATGCTGTGGAACTTGTGATTGTAAAAATAAAGTGGATTTTTG